GCTTATGTATAAATAAAGTTTTAGAAGCGAGCCATAGTTGGGATTTTTGAGTGTTCAGTCGTTTTTGTTATTTATGTGACCTTCTCGTCTTGAAGTTTTTATTTAAATAACAAAAGCAGAGGACAAATTCACCACTCCCACACTTTGGACGAGTGAAGGATGTGTGGAGCTGTCAAGTTAGATGCTACCAAACAAAACACGTTTAAGAATGTTCCTAAACTCAACCACATACTTGTTTATTTGTTTTTGTTTTTTTACCATACCCTTCATTTTAAAGTGACAACAGTTTGTTTGTGTGGTAAGTTCAGTATCAGTTAAAGTGGTATTAAAAACTTGTTTACACCTGTAGGCGCCGTGTTAATGCTCGTGTACGTTTGTGTGTCACAGGTAAACCACTAGAGCTTCTGCGTTCTCCTGCTTGTTCAAGTGGTGAGTTCATCTCCTCTTTGCTGTGTTGTGGTTGTACTTTGAGTCCCTGCAGAGGAAACTGTTTACAGTCAGTGTTGCATAATGTGCATCAAAGCAGACTGTGACTTGTGACTTGTGGTTTTTCTGTGCAAACAAGCAACACACAACAAGTGAATCATGTTTTGTTCCCTTAAAAATTCAAAACATTGCCACTGACTATGATGTAGGTGCAGCTCTACGTAATAAAAGTTCATTTTAGACCTAAATTAAGTAAATACTGGTGGTTGTATCTTTGCACAGACCAAAATAATTTAAGAAACTTTATCAGCGCACAGTGGGAATAGTGGTGCCCTAAAGGGGAATTTGGGTAGTATTCTTGAGATCAGTTTATTTCAAAGCTTTAGTAACTTTTTTTTTAGACTGTTAATATAAATCTGCCATTAAAAAATCTTTATTTATTTATTTATTCATTCAGTGCCTGTTGGTTCAGTCATGGCTCGCGGCTGCATCTGCTGTGTGAAGTACATGCTCTTCCTCTTTAACCTGCTCTTCTGGGTAATTTTTCCACACGCACCGACTCGGCAGTAAGAGATTAAAGCAATTTATCGTCACCGAATCAGCAGGAAGTGTCTGAGTTTCCTGTGTGTTTCAGCTGGGAGGCTGTGGATTGCTGGGTGTCGGCGTATGGCTCTCGGTTTCTCAGGGCAGCTTCGCCACTCTCTCTCCCTCCTTCCCCTCGCTCTCCGCTGCCAACCTCATCATCACCCTCGGCACCGTAGTCATGGTGACGGGTTTCCTGGGCTGCCTGGGTGCCATCAAGGAGAACAAGTGCCTCCTGCTGAGTGTGAGTGTATTACCGTATTTAGTATAAATGAACTTTTGTTCATCTTATGTTGACACTTTTCTTCTTTTATTCAGTTCTTCATCGTTCTCCTGATCATCCTATTGGCTGAACTTATCCTCCTCATCCTGTTCTTTGTCTACACCGACAAGGTAAGACTGCAAAACGCTAGCAATCATGCTCACTCCCAGGCTGCAGATGAGTGTGCCTTCATATCCCATGATCCATCTCTGGTTCTGTGTGAACAGGTGAGTGAAAATGCCCGTCAGGACCTGAAAGAAGGGCTGGTGCTGTACAACACGGACAACAACGCCGGCCTGAGGGATGCTTGGAACACGATACAGGGAGAGGTGAGCAGATGCATTAAAGGCAACTCTTTAATCCAGCTGCTTGTTGACTGAATGATGCACTGTCATTTCCTCCCTTCCTGCTTGTTTACTAGTGGAAGTGCTGCGGCGTGATGAACCACCGCGACTGGCACACGGCGTTCCATGCTGACGTGGTTCCTGACCGCTGCTGCCAGCAGGTTTACCCGGACTGTGGACGCAACACCTCCAATGTGTTCTGGACACGGGTCGGTGAAGTTATCAATCTGCTGATTGTTTTATTCCTTCTGTTGTCAACAAGGCCCAATAAATTTAACCACTTAAGCCCCACGCCCCCGATACCGGGGGCAAAAAGGAGGAGATCACGTTTAATCGGTTATAACACGGGGTCAGAAACATAAATCCCGACATGTGTGGTATCCACAGAAACCTCTGAATCTCAGTTAAAATCTCATATAAACCATTTCTACAACCACCAAACACAACGAAAACAAACCATGATTAAACAAGCAGTTACGTAAATGCACACAAGTCCGCTAAACAAACAAAACCGCACCAGAAATTCTTTAGACTTCATGTAACCGGCTAAAGAAAGGCTGAAGCTATCACCAATTCCAAACACCAAGTTTCACCACACTTTGACCAAAATTCACTGAATGAGCCGCAAAAGAAGACCACAAAAACACATAGCGGCGCAAATGCACTAAGACAGAAATTGACTTACTGTCCCGAGTTTTGCCGGTAGCACGTGATTATCAGCAGTTACCACGCCTAACTAGCTGCATCAGAGCCATGTTCAACAACTTCCATTTTAGACCCACCTACAGACACATGACTGGACAGAGGCCACATGCAGTAAATTTGGGCCCACGTGGGTTTTGCCCTTGCAACTTCTGATTGGTTGAAGTGACATGAACGTGGCACAGTTACTGTGATCCTATTGGCTCAAACGATTAAAAAGAGGTCTCTGGTTTAAAGTGAGCTGCACAACCACGACTCATATAGTTAATGAGTTGGTGTTACAGTTCTTTTCCTGTTTTCCTGTTATTTCTTTACCTCGAACTTAATCCCAAACTGTTTTTGTTTTATTTGAATTTAAAGAAGCATTAGGTTGTGTTTGAATGTGTCAGAAACAACAACAGATGTTAGTAACCATGAACAAAAGGAGAAAAGAGTGAACTCAGTGTAAAGCGTTTTTGTGACCAGATGTCTCCTGATGATCTGGTTTCCTTTGTCTTTTCAGGGCTGTTATGAGAAGGTTGAGGAGTGGCTGGACGACAACAAGCACCTTCTGGGGACTATTGCGATGTGTGTGTTGGTCATACAGGTGAGCAGCACTTTATCCGGTGGTCACATCCAGACTTTACATACTCACAGGGTCTGTGCAGTGAAGCAAGTTCAACATATCCAGGATGTAGTTTCCTTAACTTTCTCAGGGTTACAGAATCACAAAAAACTAAATAAAAATTCATTTAAGACATTTTACTGCCAATTAAGGCCATGTGCCTTTAAAGACTTTGTTAGGGACCCTTTCCCTAACAGCTGTGAGATACCACCCCAGGCTACCTGGAGGTTCTGTCTAAGGCTACTGGGGTTGGCAGGTTGCTGCTGAGTGTTAATATGGCACATTACAGCAAGTCTTCATGGGCTGTATTGACAAGAGTAAAACGAGGCAAAAGTTTAGGGCGGTTTCAGTATATTAACGCTCAAAGAACAACAGGAAATAAACTTCCCCTGGGGATCTATTTTCTTACTCATGAGAGGAAAAACAAAAACTTCAGACTGTCCCATAACCCTAGAGACCATCTTATTATCTTCCAGGAATTGTGATACAATTTTCCAGGGAACTGATCAGCCAAAAAGCCTTGATTTGATCATGTAGATCTCTTATCAGACTCCAGAAACGGTTTAGGGCTGGTTATGCTGGTTAAGAAGGGAACCACCTTCTAAAGTTAACTCGCTAAGCACTAAATCCTGCCTCATAACACAGCTCTTTATTAACTGGAGTGTTTTTCTGTTTCCAGCTGCTCGGCATGGCTTTTTCCATGACACTTTACCAGCAGATCCACCGGGCAGGGAAGAAGTACGAAGCCTGAGGGGATTAATGGAGGTGTTTCACACAGCTGAGCTTTGGGTACATAGAATATATCATCGTTAGAGTTTTTAAAAAGCCAGTTTATGTGTACCACTACAACCGTATATCTTTTTTCCATCTCTGCACCCATTTATTGTTGTGAATAGCATTTAAATTAGGTTTTTTTTTGTTTTTTTATAGTTAGCTTTTATAAAAATCACAATATATTGTGTTTTTTTTATGTAAAGTAATAACACGAGAAAAATCAGAACAGAAAGAAAGACTGGGAATGAATTATCAAGTCGTTGAAAGCCACGCGTGTGAGAAAAATGCTTAGATAAGGCGAGCGTTGTGTACTAACATGTTCAATAAAGATAAAGAGCACTCTACAGAAATGCGGTTTGAAGAGATTTTTTTGTTCCAGGTGATGATGACTGAGATTTGCTTTTGTTGCTGCAATCCTCTGATAAAAGCAGAGAGAGTTTCAGGCCTCTGCAGGCTTCACAGAGGTCAGATCAGGTAATTCAGTGAACTGATTGATCACCTGAGAGGGAAAGCTCTCTCTCCTGACTCAGCTTTTCTAACAGCAGTGATCTGGATCTAGGTCATGAACCTTTGCCCACTTTCAGTGGCTCTCTGTGACTTTGATTTAAAAAATAAATCAAGACTAAACAATGGTTATTAACATGAGATTTCAGATTGTTTGAGGCCTCTGTTAACAGACCCAGACCGATGGCACTGTTGGTCTAAAGGGCGAAAATACTACTGTTGTCTGAAATGGTAAAATGGTAAATGGCCTGTATTTGTATAGCGCTTTACACATCCAGTCATCCACCCATTCACACACTGGTGATGGCAAGCTACATTATAGCCACAGCCACCCTGGGGCGCACTGACAGAGGCGAGGCTGCCGGACACTGGCGCCACCGGGCCCTCTGACCACCACCAGTAGGCAACGGGTGAAGTGTCTTGCCCAAGGACACAACAACTGAGACTGTCCAAGCCGGGCTCGAACCGGCAATCTTCCGATTACCGTACAAGGCGAACTCCCAACTCTTGAGCCACGATCGCCCACAATCGTCTGATGACAAAGGAAGAGGAGAGGGGGACGGCATATTAGGAGGCAGTGAGAGAAGGAGAGGTAGGAGTGGAAGGATTTTAAATGTAGGGACTGTGACTGATAAAAGGAGAGAGCTGTTTGATATGACATGGCTTCATGCTTGGACAGAGCACTACATGAACATAGATAAACATCTGGACCGAAGCCTCCCAGTGCTTATTGGGCTGACAGGTGTGACCACACTGACATAAGAGACTAAAACTTTATTTTAGTTAGCTCCTTAAGCACACATTTACATTTTTATATAGTTTTACTTCACTCTGTTAACCTAGTTCCACAGTTACAAGTCCAAGATTTTGTTGTTATCATAGACGACGTCCCCTTTGATGATGACATACCGGATGAGCTCCTGATGTCCTCCCAGCTGGTAAATCAGGTGCTCCCACCTGCAGAATGACACAGAGGACAGCCTCTGTTATTTTTATTTCTTATTTCTAATGTAAAGCTGATACAATATTAGATTTTCAATGTAGGAAGAGGTCAGAAGTATCAGTAAAACACCAAATCTAAACATCTGCACACCAAAGTTTCTCTGATTAGGAATCACTAAAACTGCACAATTAATAAAGCTACCTGGTAAAATAATGGTTCAAATTATGAAACCATGCATTAATATAACATTACAGTTAAAGGCAGCACTAAACTGCAAGCAGTGAGTGACTGAGTGCAACACACAGAGTAAATAATTGCACTATTTCCACAATAGAAACACACAGCTGTTTCTTTAAATTTTACCTTAACTTTTTTAAGCTCCATAAAATCATGAAATTGGTCTTTGAAGTGTTCTCTGCTGTGGGTGGGCTTACCGTGTGGCGTTGAGGAGCAGCAGGTCTCCGTGCTTGTTGACCTCCAGCGATCCATGTGTGTGGGAGCGCCCGAGGGCGTAGGCCGCGTTGATGGTGGCGGCGGCCAAAGCCTCTGGCATGGACATCCTCATGTTAACGCAGGCCAGATGCATCACTATCGGCTGAGGGAGAGAAAAAGAAGAACAGAGGGGGATGTAAGCAGAGGGGAGCCTGCAGTTCTTCTATTGGCCACTTGAGGCAGACTCTTGAGGTGAATCAACCCCTCCAGACTTCCATGTTAAAATGTCCAACTTTACATGCCTACAGCAGCAGTTTGCACCTCAGTGGAAGCTAATAACTTATCATTCTTGCTTAAGGAAAAACGGAAACGTAATGTTTAGGCTTCATGGGTAATGTCACAGTACTTACATCCATCTTTTATATACAGAGTGTGGCTGTGACAGAGACAAAGGAGGAGTCAGACATCCTGCACTCACCATAGAGCAGCAGTAGGCGTTGGGGTTGAAGTCGCTGCCGAGGGCCACGATCACTCCAGCGTCCAGCATGTCTCTGGCCCGAGGCTGGGGCAACCTAAACATCAATAAATGTATTACTCGAAAACTCT